GTCCGGAATGGCGTCTTTCAGCCAGGTTTCCGTGAAACACAGAGCAGCAGAGTGTGAAAAATCCTTATTTGTCCGGGAGAGCAGAAGTTCGTCCGTTTTATTGGGTAGAGAGCGGAGGTTCGCCAGATGGATGCTGGGTAACGGTGTTCTGAATCCGCGCTTCCTGAGCTTCACGAGCACGCCGGCTCTCTTCCCCCGTCTGCGCGTCCTGAAGCGCTTGATCAGCGCAGCTGCGCCGCCAACTACAACGTTCAGCAAAACGTCCGAAAAAACGAAATCCGGTAGAAGATTGTGTGGTGTGTTCTGCTGAATGTTCAGCATCTCATCCCTGGTAAAACTGATAGTGTTTGAGAAACAAAAAACAGGAAAAACGAACAAAAACAGTAATAGGCTATTGAAAATAGCCTATTACTGCTAAATTATGATGTTTTCTGATGTAAAAATCTTGATAACATTATAAGTGGACCTCAGAGAACAGCACAAAATAATAAAAAAGGCAGTTTATGACCACCAAAGGCAGTGCATGACCCCTTTCGTCACGTCTCCTTCAGTTCGACAGAGCAGATGAACTCCTGGATCGGCCGGATTAACCTGGTGTCTGCGCTGTACTCCTCTCCTCCGTTCCCCGCTGCTGTCGGCTCTCAGAAGAAGTTCTGTCGGCCGATCCTGCCCGCCACACAGTCCAGCCTCATGCTGGTAAGAGCTTTCTCTGTCCGAGAGGATCTAACCCATCAGTCAGCAGGTGTGGGTGGACATGATTTACGACAATTTAAACTTGTTTGTGGTGGACAGTATCACTGAATACACAAAAGCTATGAGCCTAACTACTGTATATTAGTGTCTGTCCACACCAAATGACAGTAATGTCAGTGTGTAGCGAGACAGTAGCTTCATTAACCCTTGTGCGTCAATTAAAAAAAGTTACACATAGGTCCATAGTGGACAAAAATGTCCATGTCAAAAAACTGTCATAAAAATTTGAAGCTTGGGAGCACAGAGTTAAGTTTGGTCTCATTTTAAAGAAGACCCATGGCAGATTATTGTTGAAGTAAAAAAAAAGTTTAAAAAGTGAAACCAAAAAAATTCTAGATCTTTAGGTTTATGAAATGATTTATGAACAATGTTTTATATAAAATATATATTTTATGAAACATGTTGAACTCTATACCTGCTAGAAAATCAAAGCCAAAAATCTAAAACACACATACAAACCGCACTCTGACATCCATACCAACACACCCACACAATTATAGCTGCATTATTTATCCAATTGGCTCTATAATATGCAGAAGCAGAAAACAGAAATAAAGCGAGTATTTTCTTTATAGGTCAAAACTGAAAAAATGGCACCATCTGGTAAAAAATAGTAAAAAAAATTAATTTTAAAGCCTTGCCAATATAATGAAAGCCTAGCAACAAAATTTGCATAATTTTACAGTTAAATGGCACTGCGATTAAAAATAGCAGTTTTAATGGGTTTCAATGGGGACATTTTTGTCCTTAAGGTCCTGAGAGGAACAATTTTTTGTACCTAGTGCAAAACAGATTTATTAAAGGAAATGGAAGTGAAATAGTAAAATTCCAATAAAAATACACACCTGTGCCAAAATGTATGCATTTGGCAATAACACAGGCAAAATGATCAAAATAACAAAACTGAAAAGGACAAAAATGTCGAAAAGGTCGCACAAGGGTTAAGCATCCAGGTCTCGCTAGGGTATTTGCATCTGTTATTGTTTCCATCAGGACAAACAGCTGCAGTCGCACGCGGCCATGCTGCACAGCTTCCAGCAGGACCTGACGTCTCTCCAGCAGGAGGCGCCGGAGAGCAGGAGGAGCAAAGCCCGGGAGCTGGAGGAGCTCCGGCAGAGAGAGGAGTACTTACAGTACGAGGTGCGTGTTTGGCAAACCCTTCTCATAACACATAAGTCACTCACAAACTCTAGGGGCCGGATGTGTAAATGACACACACACACACACACACACACACACACACACACACGACTAGTGAGCTAAAAGTATCGCCAATGAGCTGACAATCACAGACGCTCTAAAACAAGTCTTCATATCCTAAAACATTATGCATCTTGTGGATAGTTCACCCAAAAATGTGAATTCTGTCATCATTTACTCACCCTCATGTTGTTCCATGATGACAGTTTTTTTATTTGGGTGAACTATCTAGTTTAAGTATTTTAGATAGTGATCATGGACATTTTTAGCAGTGTAATATTTACAGTCAGTATTATCTCTTGATTTGCTAGTTGTTAGTACTGTTGAAAGCAGAAGTAACACCTGTCTGGATATAATATGCAGATGAAAAACAGCATTTCCTGATAATTTCTGGATAGGGAATAGAGCTTTTGTATTCTCCATTATTCTGGTGCATGTGCAGATCTGGCGTACATAGAGTTTCAAACATTTTCATAAAGAATGATGTCTAGAAATTAACGTTTTTAACCTTTAATATGTCGTATCATGCTGTAAGTTGGTTTAATTTCACTGTAAATGGTGTGAGTAAAGAGTTGTTTTCTGCTGGTTTTCACAGAAATCTCGTTACGAAGTCTATCTGAAGGTTCTGGAGGCCTGGCAGGCGCTGGAGAAGTCTGGTTCATCGGTCGCTGACAGACTGAGCATGCTCGATGAGGGATTGTGGAGCGGATCGATGGACGAGCAGCAGGACAAGGCTGAAGCCGGGATCAAGCGATCTCACTCCAGTCCGTCTCTGGAGATAGAAACACCTCCTCAGCCTGTCGTCAAAGTCAGACGCAACATCTCTGAGAGACGGACCTACCGAAAGATTGTGATTCCCCGCCGGAACAAAGAGCTTTGAACAAACAGACTCTTACACAAACTGTCAGACACGCTCAAAGCACTTGAATCCTTTAAGGTTTAACATAATTTAATGTATTTTTAAAGTCAGGCCCGTCCAAGGTAAAAACAGCAACAACTGTAGTCTTTTTATATGCATAATTTTTGCACAATACTCTTATTAATTGACCCTGTTCATACTGTCCACAAGAGGGAGATGTTGCTCAAGATGTTTAAATGAAGGACAAGACCCAAGTCATTAGTTCTGACCTCACATCTCAAAAGAGTTTCTGGATGAATGTGTGGTCAGCAGAACCATAGTAAACAGAGTGAAGACTGGAACGGTGTGTGTGTTTCTCTGTGGGAAACCTCACATTAGTGCTGTCATTCAGAAACATTTTCCTCTGATGGCTCTTGTGTATCAAGTGTTTGTGAATATCTGATATCCTTTCATTTAAACAACAGCCCGTCATTAAGCTCAGATGCTGAGGATGTGTTTGATGGATTGTGCCTTCGGGCTCAGGATGTGTCGCTTGATAAAGATCTGAAAAGCCAATATCAGATAATGCCGCCTGTTGACATAAACAGATTGTGAGGAAAAACAATCAAACTGTCAGTGAGTCACTTATAGCAAGACTTCTGCTCTCACACCGCATTATGGAGCTCCAATGTAAGTACAAATGTGCTCTAAATATGGCGATTTGAAATCCTGTGGCCGCTGGATAGAATTATGTTTAAGAGACCTACATGGACACACTCACAGAGTGTCACGAAGTACTGCAGAAATTGAGAACGCGTGTTATTTTGAAGCGTGCACAGTCGAGCTATTTTCAGCGTTGCGTCTGAAGCTCTTGTGTTTGCTCCGCCGGTGGCGTGAGGTCATGACCAAACTCAGAGCTGGAGCCGCGGAGCGTGACGTCTGTGCTGTTCCTGGAGTGAGCTCAAGTTCCTCTGAGTTTTGGTTCCTGCATGTCTGTCTGGCTGAAGGGTTTGTGGCCGCTTGTCAGGCCTGGTTGAGTAATTAAAAAGGCAAGCGGAGGCTTTTCTTCATTAAGGGTCCTAAGCAGCACTCGTCGCTCTCGTTCTCGCTTGATCTGTCACAGAAATACCTCTGGATTCCTCCTCGTGCTCAGACGCGGCGGATGAAGCGTTAACTCTGGTTTGGATGGTGGCTGCTCTTCTCACTTATTCTCCATCTGCTCCGGCGCTCCTCATTGTTCCCCTGTGTTCATCTCCTGATGTTTGTTGGAGGTCGGTTCTCTTCCCAGATGGAGAGATGTGAGAGACGGTAAAAGCAAAGACTGTTTTAAAGACCACTGTGATTTTGCCACTTTACCTCTGTGAGTCAGTTCTGTTGGCACAGGTATCGTTTCTATTCATCCGTCCATCTCCTCACACTTTACAGTGGGTTTGTTGTCTTGTGTGTGTCATGTTAAGAAATGATCCATACTGATCAGATGTTCCCAGTTTAGATGAGGATTCATATGTGGGTTAAATGCAAACTTTGTTTAGGTTCTTTCATATCTCTTTCACTCACAGACTCTGAGCAAACGCTGATGATTCTGTCCCTCTCAAGCAGACTTTTATTTGTGTTGGTTTCTGCTAAAGTAGCCCGGGGCGTCTCAGCCGGTGACCTGAGTTTGGCCTGAAGACAATAACGGGCTCCGTGCTTCATACTGGGGAGTGAAGCGAGCTAAATCTTCCACCCTCAATACCACGACTGAGGTGAGACCCCTGAGCAAGAACCGAACCCCCGATGGCTGCCCACTGCTCCGGGTGTGTGTTCACTGCTGTGTGTATGTTCACTGCTGTGTGTGTGTGTGTGTGTGTGGGTGTGTGTGTTCACGGTGTGTGCGTTTTCTTCACTGTGTGTCACGGTGTATGTGTGTGTGTGTGTGTGTGTGGGTGTGTGTGTTCACGGTGTGTGCGTTTTCTTCACTGTGTGTCACGGTGTATGTGTGTGTGTGTGTGTGTGTGGGTGTGTGTGTTCACGGTGTGTGCGTTTTCTTCACTGTGTGTCACGGTGTATGTGTGTGTGTGTGTGTGTGTGGGTGTGTGTGTTCACGGTGTGTGCGTTTTCTTCACTGTGTGTCACGGTGTATGTGTGTGTGTGTGTGTGTGTGGGTGTGTGTGTTCACGGTGTGTGCGTTTTCTTCACTGTGTGTCACGGTGTATGTGTGTGTGTGTGTGTGTGTGGGTGTGTGTGTTCACGGTGTGTGCGTTTTCTTCACTGTGTGTCACGGTGTATGTGTGTGTGTGTGTGTGTGTGGGTGTGTGTGTTCACGGTGTGTGCGTTTTCTTCACTGTGTGTCACGGTGTATGTGTGTGTGTGTGTGTGTGTGGGTGTGTGTGTTCACGGTGTGTGCGTTTTCTTCACTGTGTGTCACGGTGTATGTGTGTGTGTGTGTGTGTGTGGGTGTGTGTGTTCACGGTGTGTGCGTTTTCTTCACTGTGTGTCACGGTGTATGTGTGTGTGTGTGTGTGTGTGGGTGTGTGTGTTCACGGTGTGTGCGTTTTCTTCACTGTGTGTCACGGTGTATGTGTGTGTGTGTGTGTGTGTGGGTGTGTGTGTTCACGGTGTGTGCGTTTTCTTCACTGTGTGTCACGGTGTATGTGTGTGTGTGTGTGTGTGTGGGTGTGTGTGTTCACGGTGTGTGCGTTTTCTTCACTGTGTGTCACGGTGTATGTGTGTGTGTGTGTGTGTGTGGGTGTGTGTGTTCACGGTGTGTGCGTTTTCTTCACTGTGTGTCACGGTGTATGTGTGTGTGTGTGTGTGTGTGGGTGTGTGTGTTCACGGTGTGTGCGTTTTCTTCACTGTGTGTCACGGTGTATGTGTGTGTGTGTGTGTGTGTGGGTGTGTGTGTTCACGGTGTGTGCGTTTTCTTCACTGTGTGTCACGGTGTATGTGTGTGTGTGTGTGTGTGTGGGTGTGTGTGTTCACGGTGTGTGCGTTTTCTTCACTGTGTGTCACGGTGTATGTGTGTGTGTGTGTGTGTGTGGGTGTGTGTGTTCACGGTGTGTGCGTTTTCTTCACTGTGTGTCACGGTGTATGTGTGTGTGTGTGTGTGTGTGGGTGTGTGTGTTCACGGTGTGTGTGTGTTCTTTACTGTGTGTGTGCACTTGGATGGGTTAAATGCAGAGCACATATTCTGAGTATGGGTCACCATACTTGGCCACACATCACGTCACTTCACTAAATGTCTGCGAGACGCGTCCTGTGTGTTCAGATGATGTACATCTTGATCTACTTAAGCACAATTTGTCCTGTTCAGCACTGTATGCATCAAAATAGTTCTGGGTCATTCTCAGATAATGGTGCCATTTGTGACTGAAAATTTCTTCTTTTTTCTGTTTTGTTTGATTTTTTTCCCCACATAGTACCAGCTCTGTACCTGCCATATTACTCAATAAAAAGTTTATTTTTATTATTATTACTTTTTAGATGGCAGATTCTTAAAATGATGACTCTGCTTAAAATATATAATAGGTCTTTAAAATCAGGTAGTATAGCTCCTTTCAACACCAAACATTATAACTGAAAAAGAATATATGAATATATGACTTGAGACCCGGCGTCCAGGCCAATGGAAATCATGTTTCTTTTTGAAACGGTTCTTTTGTCATTGGTGCCAAATGGCGCATAACGGCCTCTGACACAAAGTAGATAAATAATCTTACTATTAGATCTTAAAACACAACAACAGCACTGACTGCTGTAAAGTGAAGCTGAGAGATCAAACAAATCATATCATATTGCAGTTACATTTACTGTATTACAACAGGAACTTTTACTTTGCACAGCAAATTCAGTAAAGATCTCTACTGTCTGCTATTGCGACGCAGGTCATCCCACTTCAACCTTTCATCTAAACTTGCTAGCAATGCTTCATGCATTATGAACTGGATATTTGGTTTTGAAAACTGGAACTGTTATCCTCCCATGCATACGGCTGCTGACAATAAAACAATATCAATACTGAATTATAGCTATTTTATAAATATTAATTTTTAAAAATCACATTTGAATTTTTTTTTTACAAATATTAAATAACTACAAAATCTACAATATTTGTATAAACTTTGTTGTAATTTAGAATCATCTTGTAATAACTCATAGCCCATATATAAAAATTATACAAAATACAATTATACAAAATTATTTGTCTTATTTGAGGCATTTAGAGTAAAAATAAAGCATGGTCCTATTTTGTTTATTTTTTTACTTTTTATTATTCTTCTGAAAATATAAAAGGAGAAATTCCTGACTTGCTTAAAATCAGACATCTGAATCAATATAAGATCCGTGTCCTGGAGGTGGTTTGAATGGTCTTGTTCCTCGAAGGCTCAGTTTAATGCCTCACGATCAGTGTGTGTAAATGTTACTGTGTACTCTGAAAACAGCACTGGGGTTCATTTATTTTTCATAATAAACTATTCCTGTAATTCTATAAAGTTTAGAAAAGAGCAAATGTTTTGGCTGCTTAAAGTTTCACTTTACAGATGATTCACAGCGATTGTTCTGTTTTGGTCAACCTAAGTTAAACTCATAGAAATGTTTGTTTAGTGAACAGTGTGATTTCTGTGTGAATTTGGCCAAATCCAGTGAAAGATGCATGACATGGAAACTGAGGAAATCCCTGCGTTGCTTTTACACACGTTTGCTTGATGAACCTGTTGGCATTTATTAGGGTTGGATGTGTGCTCTTGAGGAATGCTGTCCGCTCCACATGAACCAAACGCACTATCCAAGACAATATGCTCAACAGAAATGATCACTAATTAATTGGTATTGAAAAGGCTGCAAATTTGATGTCATAAACTGACAGTGTTTGCTGCTGAAATCAATTAATGAGGCTGGTGGGTTCATTCACCCGATCTGGGTTAAGTGCTCCGTCAAAGCTACCGTGACCCGCTTGAGGAAGAACGGCCTCATGATGTCAGCGGACACGGCTCTTGGTTCATTTTGGCATTCCGGCCGTTCTGGAGGGGACTTGGAGTTTGTTGTTGACTACAGGTTTCCAGGCGTAAACGTTTAATCTCTCTTTGAAACACACGTGAAGTGTATTAGCACAGCAACAGCGAGCTGCGTTTTGGCCGGAGCTCCTGAAGGGCCCCTGTCTGCCTGTGCTTTGGCTCCTGTGATGATAGTAACACATGCCCTCTTCCAGGGGCCTTGTCCTCTCTCAGCGGTTCCAGCCCGCTGACCGTATTGTGCTGCCGGACTCATTACTGGCAAACCCACAGCCGAGTGCCATGCTAATAGGCCTGAGGGAGGGCTGACGGTGTGAATGAGGCACAAATACAGAAAGAGGCTGTTAAAAGAGACAGGGAGGCAGCATTATCATTGCCTTTATGGCCACATTCTTGTTTTTCTCACTTTCTTTGGATTTCAGCAGCATCAAGGTTTGATAGTTGCTGTCATTACGCAGCGGGCAGGAGCCCAGTTGGCATTGCTGGCAGACATTTTTTGAGGTTGATGACAGGAGGGGATTTTGTGTCATTTTTGCCTTCATGAAAGGCACTCACACACACACACACACACACACTTGTACATTTTACTGCGTGCTTGAACACAGAAGTTTAAATGTTTTCAGTCAGTGCATTTACATGCACATCAATACAACACCACTAAAAATAGCTCATTGTATAAACTTGATAAAGCGTTTACGTGAGGTTTGAAATTACGGAGTTTTTCCTCCGGTTTTGAAGTGAAAACGAGCATGCGCAGAAGAATCAGAGCAGCGCTGAAGGTGCAGAGCTGAATCAGAGGGATTTGCCAAAATGTGTAGCGATCGGTTTATACTTTAGTTAAGTACGGCATTTAGTTTACATGTATTGAACATGTATATACATGCCAAAAACACCAGTTCTCTTAGTGCACACTCTAATTCAAAATGCTAAACATAGCTTATGGGAAATGTTTTAATTCAAACTTAAGTCAATATAAATTAATAAAAATGGTTGTGTGTTACTCTCCCACTGGTGGTAAATTGTTGGTCTATCTTTGATGAAAACTTTGGCTGATCGCAAAATAAATGATAAACCAGAAGCGCCATGCAGAGCGCTGTGACGTGAGTGTGTGATATTGCAGCTGTAGTTTCCTAAAGTCAAGCTGATGTTATTAACTCTCCGCTCGCCCCTACATTCAGAACTCATTCGAAAGCAAGTGCTTATCGCGGGTCTGCGGCGTTTGCGCTCATTCATCACGGGATCCAGGTGGGCCGCGGCACCGCCGAACCGTGGCCTCGTTAAAGAGCCATTATAATGAGGCCACAAAGAGGAGAGAAATAATTGCAAATAAAAATAGGTGATGCAGAAAATAAAAAAGGAAATTAAACAGATGCGCATGTTTTCAGGATCATTGCTTTCGTCCCTTTCATGTGTTCAGTTAAACTGCTGACTGGCGAAAAATATGCAACATAATAAATGATGGTTTTCAACAGAAAGATAGTAGAAACACCATAATCATCACCGCCAGCTACCCTAGTCTAGCAGCAGGCTATGTTATAGCCCTATATAAAAGTTTGATCTATTTAAGAATAATCATTCGAGCTGTTTGCTCTTGTATTCTGACAGTACATAATATATAATTACGCTTATTATTATTGTACAAGACAGGAAAAAGAGGAAAACACATGATTGTAGTTTGTCATGCTTTATTTAATTCAAAATAATTCTGTAGAAAATATTAATTTACATTTGAATAATATAATTAACAGTACAATAAAACGTAATCTCTGAAACTCAAAACTCGTTTAATCACAGAAATATAAGCATGATAATACGCTGGAAAAAATAGAATATAAACATTTTAAAACGAATGAATCCCCACACGGTTCAGCTCTAATAATCATGTAGAATATAAATTAATTTCATTTTAACAGGGGTTTCCTTCTCTACATTATTTACACATTTCCTCAAAACATCAAACTTCTGTAATGATTGGGACTGAATATGCTGTTTCTGAATATGATGTCTTTGATAGTCATTTATTGATTTATTGGACGATGTTGAAATACGGCACATTGAAGAGAGAAATGTCCGCTTGTATAGATAAAATGTTATTTCTATCTCCTTTAAATGTCTGCTGCATGAATAGCGATAAAGTCCATCCGAGATCAATTCATTCAGCTCGAATGACCATTTGCTCCTTTCCCCAAGCAGTGAAACAGAGGAAGTGTCTCATAGAATCCTTCATAACCTTTTAATTTCTATAGTTTATTTGTTCAATTGTGTGCAGGGCCGTTTCTAGGCATATAATAGGCGAGCTAGGCGGTCGTCTAGGGCGCCACCAGCTGAAGGGGTGCCAATGAGCGCACGTACTGGCACTTTTATCAGGGTTGTGATAAAGAGTGGCACGGTCACCCTGAAATATGACTGCCGCCCCCACTGGATCCCCCAACATTATTGGGCTAGAGCAGTGTTTCCCAACCGGGGTGCCGTCTGTCGAGAGCAGGGGTGCCGTGTAAAAAATAATTTTTTAATATTTAGTCCACTCAAAAATTGAGCCGACAGGAAACATCGATGTAGTACAGCATTGTTTCTGTCTGCAATAGCCCTACTGTGCTGTAACATGGTGTGGTATAGCCTATGAGCAACTCTGGTAATGCTGCCCTCTCATTCATTGATCTGCCAACTGCTATGTTATGCTCACGTGTTCTGATAATAATAGCTTTCTAGGACTAAACATTATTTGGATAATTGCTAACAAAACAAAAAAAAAACCCTACTGTTAGACCTACCTGAAAAACTAAAAAGCAATTTATTTAATTCGAAGGCCTGTCGTTATTTTTTATTTGTGCTATCATTATTCATTTCTTTGTTCTTATTTTATTACTGACTGCTTGTCATTTTTTATTCAATTCAAAGTTTGAAATCAAGCTATCTCGTGCTACTGCACCAAAATGACCCCACTGTAAAAGAAGAAAAACACTGAATGAGCAAAAATTTGTGAGATAGCTAGTTATAATGGTAATTAAATAATGTTTACATATGTATAAAAGCCTACATTAAAATCTGTCATATAAATTGGTCTCTTCATTAGAAATTAGCCTACCGATTGCCTCCATGGACAAAAAAATTAATAATATTAAAAATATCTGACACACACACAATATTGACACAATATCTGATACTTTTCAAAGTATCATATCGAAGTTAGAAATTCAAATATTGTGACAATTTATTTTGTAGGGTGC